ATCGTTAAAGGGCCCTAATCTGTCATCATTAAAGGGCCCTATCTGATATAATAATAACCTGCTTTTTTCCAATACTTCTTTAACTGATAACAGTAGTTGAAAGATATTTGAATTTCTAAATTACTTTTCCAGCCTCTAAATCTTGTTATTGTTTTGATTTTGATGTCCCGCCCTCCACCGTTTCAATAATCAGAAAGTCCGTGATCCGGGCGCCAGAACTCACCGCGTGGAGCTAATCTCACTGGTAAAGTACCATGTGGCACAGAACTAAAAAAGGTCTTGTTATGATTCTCAAATCATTAACAAGAAAACAAGGAATAAAACCAGGATTTCTATCTTTGTGAAAAAGGTGTTGGTTATAGATTTGTTGTTGACAAAACTCTTGTCTATTCAGCTGTTATGGTTCCAGCTGGATTCATCTGCATATCTGGCAACCTGAGTCAGGGAGAGTGAGAGAGGCTGCAGTACCACTTTTGGCCACATTTTTACATATTTCTCCTTTAAACTGCTGGAACCCAAAGAGCATGTAAATCTGAGACCCAGGACTGAGGCTTTGTATTTCCGGGAGGATCATGAAGACTATTGGTCCTCTAAACTGTCAATCATTCTAGTGATACGTGCTCGTCCAATAAGACCAGAGCGTTTTGTTCAAAAAGTGGAGAGGGCGGTTCTTTCCTAAACATTGGGAAAATCCTTCTATAAGCTTTTGAGAAGGACATTTTTTATTAATTTATTAATTGGATTTGGACACAGCAGTCACATAGTACAGACCAGGTGCAAGACCAGGCCAATGTTCAACACTTGTCCATAGAAGGCTTTTAGGACACAAATTCACACATTCAAAATTTGCAAATATAAAAGTAATTAAATATGATTCCAGCCACAGCTTCAGACAAAGATATTTAAGGTCAGTGGGCATAATTGTGTTTTTGCTGCATTATTGTGGGAATCATATATTTCTGATTATTGAATTGTTGCATTTTCGCAGCTGGCTCTAAAACAGTGGAGAAAATACTGCACTCCACTGACCTTGGCTAAAGTGACTCTCCTGATCCCAGAGAGAGACAAGAGTGTGATGGACGGAGGTGGTCACACTTCAGCCCAGTGTGAAGAGCTCTCAGACTGTGGTCAATCATGCAGCCAGAGAGACCAGAGAGAGACCAGAGAGAGACCAGAGAGAGACCGGAGAGAGACCAGAGAGAGACCATAGAGAGACCAGAGAGAGACCAGAGAGAGACCAGAGAGAGACCAGAGAGAGACCAGAGAGAGACCAGAGAGAGACCAGAGAGAGACCAGAGAGAGACCAGAGAGAGACCATAGAGAGACCATAGAGAGACCAGAGAGAGACCATAGAGAGACCAGAGAGAGACCAGAGAGAGACCAGAGAGAGACCAGAGAGACCAGAGAGAGACCAGAGAGAGACCATAGAGAGACCAGAGAGAGACCAGAGAGACCAGAGAGAGACCAGAGAGAGACCAGAGAGAGACCAGAGAGAGAGACCGGAGAGAGACCAGAGAGAGACCAGAGAGAGACCAGAGAGAGACCATAGAGAGACCAGAGAGAGACCAGAGAGAGACCAGAGAGAGACCAGAGAGAGACCAGAGAGAGACCATAGAGAGACCAGAGAGAGACCAGAGAGAGACCAGAGAGAGAGACCAGAGAGACCAGAGAGAGACCAGAGAGAGACCATAGAGAGACCAGAGAGAGACCAGAGAGAGACCAGAGAGAGACTAGAGAGAGACCAGAGAGAGACCAGAGAGAGACCAGAGAGAGACCAGAGAGAGACCAGAGAGAGACCGGAGAGAGACCAGAGAGAGACCAGAGAGAGACCAGAGAGAGACCGGAGAGAGACCAGAGAGAGACCAGAGAGAGACCAGAGAGAGACCAGAGACCAGAGAGAGACCAGAGAGAGACCAGAGACGAGAGGACCAGAGACCAGAGAGAGACCAGAGACCAGAGAGAGACCAGAGACCAGAGAGAACCAGAGAGGACCAGAGACCAGAGAGACCAGAGACCAGAGAGACCAGAGACCAGAGAGTGACCAGAGACCAGAGAGGGACCAGAGACCAGAGAGAGACCAGAGACCAGAGAGGGACCAGAGACCAGAGAGGGACCAGAGACCAGAGAGAGACCAGAGAGAGACAAGAGACCAGAGAGGGACCAGAGACCAGAGAGGGACCAGAGACCAGAGAGGGACCAGAGACCAGAGAGGGACCAGAGACCAGAGAGGGACCAGAGACCAGAGAGAGACCAGAGACCAGAGAGAGACAAGAGACCAGAGAGAGACCAGATAGGGACCAGAGACCAGAGAGAGACCAGAGACCAGAGAGTGACCAGAGACCAGAGAGAGACCAGAGACCAGAGAGAGACCAGAGACCAGAGAGGGACCAGAGACCAGAGAGGGACCAGAGACCAGAGAGAGACCAGAGACCAGAGAGAGACCAGAGACCAGAGAGAGACCAGAGAGAGACCAGAGAGTGACCAGAGACCAGAGAGGGACCAGAGACCAGAGAGGGACCAGAGAGGGACCAGAGACCAGAGAGAGACCAGAGAGTGACCAGAGACCAGAGAGGGACCAGAGACCAGAGAGAGACCAGAGACCAGAGAGAGACCAGAGAGGGACCAGAGACCAGAGAGAGACCAGAGACCAGAGAGTGACCAGAGACCAGAGAGGGACCAGAGACCAGAGAGAGACCAGAGACCAGAGAGGGACCAGAGACCAGAGAGGGACCAGAGACCAGAGAGAGACCAGAGAGAGACCAGAGAGAGACAAGAGACCAGAGAGGGACCAGAGACCAGAGAGGGACCAGAGACCAGAGAGGGACCAGAGACCAGAGAGGGACCAGAGACCAGAGAGGGACCAGAGACCAGAGAGAGACCAGAGACCAGAGAGAGACAAGAGACCAGAGAGAGACCAGATAGGGACCAGAGACCAGAGAGAGACCAGAGACCAGAGAGTGACCAGAGACCAGAGAGAGACCAGAGACCAGAGACCAGAGAGGGACCAGAGACCAGAGAGGGACCAGAGACCAGAGAGGGACCAGAGACCAGAGAGAGACAAGAGACCAGAGAGAGACCAGAGAGAGACCAGAGAGTGACCAGAGACCAGAGAGAGACCAGAGACCAGAGAGAGACAAGAGACCAGAGAGAGACCAGAGAGTGACCAGAGACCAGAGAGAGACCAGAGACCAGAGAGAGACCAGAGAGAGACCAGAGAGAGACCAGAGAGAGACCAGAGAGATACCATGAGAGCTGTTGATACACATTTCATTTCATATTTTATTATTTATTTATTTATGATCTCAGCTCCTGTGGACTCAGCACCTGCAGGAGGATCAGTGAGGGGCTGGTGCTCTGTGTACTGCCACCCCCGTCCCAGAAATGGATTAAGGGGAAGAAAATGGATGAATAGATGGATCCATGAGCTTTTCAGACTCTCAAAGTCTCTTCACATTATTATCCTCTCTCTCCAAACACGGTGGTGATAAACTACTGTAGCCACAGCTGCCCTGGGGCACACTGACAGAAGCGACAGTTTACTTCATGCACAGTGCTGTAGATTTGTTTTTCTTAAATGTTTCCAAACGACGCTGGACTCACCTTTGGGTCCCACAGGTTGAGAACCACAGAGGTCTGTGTTTGTGGAACAGGAGCTCACTGTAAACTTCCTGTTTAAATAAAGGTTTATTTAAAAAGGACAAACAAACTCCCTGTTTAACGTTAACTCACTTCAGGCACAAGTTCAGCCTTTGGTTGAACTGTCAGTCACATGACCCCAGAGAGAGGGTGAGTCAGAGGGAGAGAGGGTGAGTCAGAGGGTGAGACAGAGGGTGAGGCAGTGGGTGAGACAGAGGGTGAGGCAGTGGGTGAGACAGAAGGTGAGTCAGAGGGTGAGGCGGTGGGTGAGAGGGTGAGTCAGAAGGTGAGACAGAGGGTGAGGCGGTGGGTGAGAGGGTGAGTCAGAAGGTGAGACAGAGGGTGAGTCAGAGGGAGAGAGGGTGAGGCGGTGGGTGAGGCAGAGGGTGAGACAGAAGGTGAGTCAGAGGGTGAGATAGAGGGTGAGGCAGTGGGTGAGCCAGCCTTATCGACTTTGTTCTGACAAAAGCTTAGTCTTCTCACATTCATGAAGTCTAATGATGGGTATACTGTAAAATCCAAGTTTAACGGAACCTCCGGCACGATTTGAACATCCATTGACCCAGCAGGAGATGACCATTTTCAACTTTATCACGACATTAACACGTTTCAGCTTCTTTTTCTATTGTTTTGCCCACAGAATGCCAACACAAATGGCGCCGGGTCGGCAAATCCCCGTATGTAGTGACGTCATGTGGGAACTATGTATTGGTACAAATTTCTGAAATGTATATTGTCAGCCATTTGCTGGCTCTAAATCTGTTTAATCTGTTCACACCATTTTACTTTTGGGCTCAAACATGAACTTTTAATGCAATGGAAAATTTAGGTACCCGAGCTTTAATTTAGAGGAGAGGGAGACGCGGACTGTTTCCTGCAGCGGTGTGTTTATTGGGTGCACAAATTACGCAAAGACATGCATGGTCCTGTGCGCGTTTATGGTCTTGGGTACATGGTCACGTTGCGGCTACGCGCTCACCATGTTGTGTTGTGAGCGGTTCCTGCGTCCAGCTCAGAGCCGCTGGATGCCGGAACACTGCGGCCGCTGAAGTGGTGGAATCCCGTTCGAGTACATACAGCAGGTGCCCCGCGGACACGCGCGCTCCCTCGAACAGTTCTCAACGGATTTACACTTTTCACAAACATCTTTTTTGTATGTGGCAAACAGACCGGCCCAAATATGGGCATCGGCCCTTCGGGCATTGCCCGGTACGCCCGATGGCCAGTCCAGCCCTGGCAGAAGGTGAGTCAGAGGGTGAGAGGGTGAGTCAGAGGGTGAGAGGGTGAGTCAGAGGGTGAGGCAGAAGGTGAGTCAGAGGGTGAGAGGGTGAGTCAGAGGGTGAGTGGGTGAGTCAGAGGGTGAGTCAGAGGGTGAGAGGGTGAGTCAGAGGGTGAGGCAGAGGGTGAGTCAGAGGGTGAAGCAGTGGGTGAGACAGAGGGTGAGGCAGAAGGTGAGTCAGAGGGTGAGTCAGAGGGTGAGAGGGTGAGTCAGAGGGTGAGGCAGAGGGTGAGTCAGAGGGTGAGGCAGAGGGTGAGACAGAGGGTGAGGCAGTGGGTGAGACAGAGGGGGAGGCAGTGGGTGAGGCAGAGGGTGAGGCAGAGGGTGAGGCAGTGGGTGAGGCAGTGGGTGAGGCAGAGGGTGAGAGGGTGAGGCAGAGGGTGAGGCAGAGGGGCAGAGGGTGAGGCAGAGGGTGAGGCAGTGGGTGAGGCGGGAGCGAGGGAGCAGGTGGTGAGGCAGTAGGGGTGAGGCAGAGGGTGAGGCAGAGGGTGAGGCAGGGGTGAGGCAGGTGGGGGCAGGGTGAGCAGAGGGTGTGAGGAGGGTGAGGCAGTGGGTGAGGCAGTGGGTGAGGCAGAGGGTGAGGCAGTGGGTAAGGCAGAGGGTGAGGCAAAGGGTGAGGCAGAGGGTGAGGCAGTGGGTGAGTGGTTAGCACCCGTGTGTAGAGCAGAGATCTCAGACACAGGCTGTATCCGAATGTCCACACTATACCCTATATAGTGCACTATATAGTGGTCACGCCATTTTGTAGGGGTGTCCGAATGTCCAGAGAGAAAAAGTAGTGCACTGGAATTTTCCCACAATGCATCTCGAACATGTAGTGAGCAGCGATGGTCACTATACGGAAGTAAAATGGCGGAGGCACAGAGAGACGAGCTGGACGCGGAGCGGGACATGAGCTCCAAATGTGAGTTTTTAATCATCATAAATATGTAAATGTGTAAACCGTGATATATTGTTGACAATAAGCTGCCAAAATACACATTTGAATACCATTGCCTTTTACTGCAAAACAACGTACCAATGTTATGCCGCGAAAGTGTTAGCATTTTCGCATATCATAACATTAACATCTAAAGCGAACGCTACAGAAACGGGTCACTGGTGGTCAGTCATTAATGTTATTAAAGCACTTGTGTTATATGTATAGCATTTATTGTGTGTTTAATGTTTTTTAAAGGGACAGACACTGATGTGGAGAGACTCATCTGACTGCGGGTGAAAAATTTGCTTCGGCGGCTGGATGGGAGTATGACCATTATGAATAAATACTTATTCAAAAAACGTCTACTCATATTCAAATGTTTTTATGTATCGTTACTTTAGGGCAGTGATAAAGGAAATGGGGCTGAGCCGCCTGATCAGCCCTGCCAGAGCGGCCAAGAAGTGGGAGAACCTGAAAAAGACCTACAAGGTTTGTTTCTTTGAAGCTAATTTGTGAAGCATTTATTATACAAAACTCACTGTTTTAAGGAGCTCAGACAGCCACGCACAGGGACAGGGACAGAAGGAGGGGAGCCCATCGCCATATCTTGGAAGTGGTACTCCCTCATGGATGAGGCAATAGGCAGCAGGCCATCCGTGCAGCCTCCATGCCTGATTGCCTCATCCATGGGGGAGGAAAGAGGAAGAGGAAAGCAGTGTGGCAGCCAAGAGGCCGAGGAGGGAGAGTTGAATTAGTTTTTTTGGAGAAGGTGGAGAAGAAGGAAGAGGAAAGGGAGAAGCGAGAAGAGGAGAGGGGAAGAAGAGAGGAAGAGAGAAAGGAGAGACTGTTGAGTTTGTTGGAGAGAAGTTGTAAATAGTAGATACAAATTTATTTTGATAAGTGTAGTGTGAACTATATGCATATGGACATACAATGATGCACACTATTTACACACAAAAAATTTAATCAACTAGACATTTGTAAAGAAAACTATACATACATTCAACAATTTCTTTTTAGATATTTACATATTCAATTGTTTTTGTTTTTATTTAAATAGGCCAAAACACAGATTATTCAAACATTTAATTAATAGTCCCTTGGGGTGGAAAGTGCTGCTGCCATCCGTCCATGCAGCTCCTGTCCACACTGCTGATCAGGCTGGTGCTGCTGATGCTGGTCCTGCTCGTCATCAGGCCCTGGCTCCTCTTCCACTGGCTCCCAGAGATCACCATCGCTGATGCAGATGTTGTGCAGGATGGCGCAACAGGCAGTCACCTCGACTGCAAAGGTGGGTTGGACTTCCAGTGCCTTAAAAAAAATGGATCGCCATCTTGCCTTCATCATGCCAAACGCTCTTTCTGTTACAGATCGTGCCCGTGCATGGTGCCGGTTGAAGCGGGCTTCCACTGGGCTCCGAACAGGCTCTCTGTATGGAGTGAGGAGTGTGATGGGCTGACGGAGGCAAGGGTAACCCCCATCACCAAGGAGGACGTGTCCATTTGGGGGATAGAGCCGGTGGACGTAGAGGGGGCTGTTTTTAAGCACTCGAGAATCGTGCACAGATCCGGGGTAGCCAACAAACAAATCAATAAATAAGCCACGGTGATTACACACAGCCTGCATTTGAATGGAATAAAACAATTTCCTGTTAAAATAACACTGTGCATTTTCTTGAAGGGGCTTTATTCTGATGTGGCAGCCGTCGATGCTCCCCACAACATTATTGAGAGCAGCTGATCCAGCCAGCAACTGAAACCCAGCTACAACTTGGGGAAGTTCCTCCAGGGAAGGGAAATGAATTATTTGGCCACGCATTTGAAGGATCTGGTTGGCCACCCTGTGGATCACATCGTGGACTGTGGACTGGGGCATGTCAAATGCCCTGGCGACAACACGGTACGCGGTGCCACTGGCCAACCAAAAGAGGAAGACCAAAACCTCCATGTCCTGGCTCCAGCCCTGGTGATGAGCACTCCTCAGGTGGCTAACCAGACGGGTGATGGTGGTTCGAGTGAGACGAAAATCGGGGCGAAGGTCAGACTGGCCATTTAAGTACATGCTGAGTAGGGGTACATGGTGGTTCAGTCGGCAGTACACCCTAAAACAAAACAAAAATTCTCTTAAACTTAATATGATGCTTCTAGATTCATTTTTTAATTCTGTATCTGCACTTTTAGTTATGAGTGCAGACACAGGAATAAGTACTCATTTTTCATTTTGAGATTTAAAAATGTAAATAAAAATGAAGAGTATATAGCTGAAGTCATGTTCTTTTGTGCCCTGGCATTGATTTTGCCAAATGTATTGTGTGTTGCAGGGAGCTGGAGCTGCCCTGAGACAACTGAAGTAGAAACCCTCACTACATCACGCGCACCTAATAACACACAAAAAAATCACAGAAGCCCTGTGCCCCATGGCCAAGCAAATTCTATTATTGTTTAATGATTAAGTACTCATTTTTCATTTAGAAAAAATGAGTACTTAATCCATTTCCCTTGCTATGGTTTTGTGTTCTTTCAACCAATAAAATATTTTAATGTTCTTGCATTTTAAGTGAGTGTGTCTATACAATGTGTTTTCTTGTTGAAATATGTCTAAATGTATATGACTAATGTGTTTCTCATTGACTGAGAATAGTATTTTGAATTAGTAAGTACTATAATTTACCCAGTAGATGGTGCTAATGCTATATAGACAAAGGACGAATACAATACTTACACGACGCCTTGCTAATGAACGAAGAGCCCTCATCGCCTGTCTTCGCCTTCTCTCTGTTCGGCGGTGTTTAATTCGCATTATGATAACTTGTATAATAGTTATGAAAAACACCGCAAAATTCAGTGGAGGTGCCATTTCACCGGTGTTAGAGGAGCCGGTCAGGTGGCGGGAATATGAAAGACGTCAACCAAAATTCATAAATATGAATATAAATTGTAAAAACATTTTATACATGTATATTAGACAAATATTGATATTTTAATATACTTTTATTTATATATAAAATTATATTGATCCAATGACATCTGACAGGGGTGTGATGTGGGCCGCGGCTAAAAATAGTGTGCAGCTGTCCGAATCGCCAACAGAATGAGTGCACTGACTCACTCACTCAGTCGCTATATAGTCCCGAACTATATAGTGAGTGAGTGAATAGGGTATAGTGTGGACATTCGGATACAGCCTAAGTGTGTTCTTCATCTTCCTCCTGCAGCTTTGTGCTGTTCATGTGAACTCACCCTGACCCCAGCTGCTCCTGTGCCTCCTCCTCCTCCCCCTGCACCTCCTCCTCTGGCACCTCCTCCTCCTCCTGCACCTCCTCCTCCCCCTGCACCTCCTCCTCTGGCACCTCCTCCTCCTGCACCTCCTCCTCCCCCTGCACCTCCTCCTCCCCCTGCACCTCCTCCTCTGGCACCTCCTCCTCCTCCTGCACCTCATCCTCTGGCACCTCCTATTGATGATCTAGACTCATGACATCACTGACGTCACTGTGACATCACTGACGTCACTGTGACATGCTTTGAAACTAGAAACTTCAACACTTTTATACCAGAACTTTCATGAACATTTGTGATTCTTATTATTCATTTTTTTGAAATTGGAAGATTCATGAAATGTATCAAAATCATTCTATTCTAATATTGTGTGTGTGGTGTTAATAACTGTTTTAATAACTGTTAATAACTGTTTTAATAACTGTTAATAACTGTTTTAATAACTGTTAATAACTGTTTTAATAACTGTTAATAACTGTTAATAACTGTTTTAATAACTGTTAATAACTGTTACTAACTGTTAATAACTGTTTTAATAACACTCATGTGCAGCTCTTTGTTTCATGTATAATAATATAAAAACATGTGCTACATAATCATTAAAGATTGGAATTTATTTTAGTTTTAATTTTTGTTGTTGTTAACTTTGGCCATGACCACTCTCCTTCCACAGGGAAATCCTCAGGTTGACTTGCACTTGTCAGTGTGCCCCAGGACAGCTGTGGCTACAGTAGTTTACAGTGACATTAACCCACTGTGGGACTAATACAGGATCTCTTCATCTTCATCTTCATCACAACCATTTTTCTGAGAGAAAGAATGAATACATTCAGTTCAGTGTGTTTGTGTCTAGCTCTAAATAACAACAGTCGTCATCTCTGAGCAAAGCTGTCGATTCTCCAACACAGATCAGAAAATCAAACACAACCGTCCAAACAGCGCTGAAGTAAACTCATCCTTATAGTATGACTTTATCAATAGATTCAAATTGTTCTAAAGTGTTATTTAACCCTCACTCCTCTCGTGTAATCGCAGAATGAAGCCGCTCTCAGATCCTCTGTCGGGCCCTCAGGGGCCTCAGGGGCCTCAGGGTGCCCTTGCTTTGATTGCTCCCATTTCAACATGTTTTACTCTGTCAGGTAATGAAAGCGCATACATCTTGGGCTTCGGCTCCGCACACTCGGATGAGCTGTCGTCCCGGACCCCGCCCCCCCAGCACTGCCCCCCCCCCCCCCCCCCCCGCTCCGTCCGCCTCCGTGCAATCTGCATGCGTAATTTAGAGGCGCGCAGGGAGGGCCGTAAAGCAGCGCGCGGCCGTAATGAGTGCGAGTGCGCCTCTCTCCAACACGTTGGGGTGTAAATGAAGCGTCCTGGGTGCAGCTGGTGTCGCGCTGAAAAACGTCCCCCCCTTATCCACCGCCACACACCTCCTCACCGCCGCCGCCGCCGCTTCGGGCTCGCCGCGTTGATTTACGGCACCGGAGAGCGCATCAATTGAAGCGGGCCCCGTGCGCGCTCGCAGGCGGCCTCGTGCGCGCGCAGCAGCTGGGGCGCTAATTAGCTCCGCCATGCACGGAACACTCATCAACGTTAGCCCGCTCTCCCCGCGCTAATTCACAGATCAATTTACTTTTATGGATTCTTTATTGGAATTATAACTCACGGCAAAGGCCCGCCTCCTGCGCTTGATTGACAGCTTTAACCACCTGTTAGTGGACCTACATTTCCGAGCCAGTGGTTATTTGTGATTTGTAAGTTATGCGCAGAGCGAGGGAGGAGAGCGGTCCATCACACGCCGCGTTAGCAACGTCAAATTAGCGAAGTTTGAGGATGTGGTCGGGAACTTATTCCTGGTAATTACTGCCTAATTTTCAACCCTCGGTGGTCTCCATGACGACACCAGATCTGCTGAAAATGGACAAAATTACAGTATTTCATCTGTACATTTTTGTTGATGTAAACACACTCCAAAGATAGAATAATATGTCACATTAAACAATATGCAAGAAAGGTTATGCAGGAAATAATGAGATTCACAATTTGTATTTTATTTGATCTTAAAGAAGAGAAAAAACACAACTGACCCCAAAAAACATTGAGACTGTTCACTTTGTTGTTTCATGTTTTAGAAATTGAAATAATATCTCCAATAGAAAACAAAAGGTGAAACAATTATAACGGGTAAATAATGCTTTCTGCGTGTAGCTCCTTTTCATACCACCAGAGGGAGGAGCAGATATATATTTTTTGTTATTTACAAATTTGATACATTTACAGCCAACACAGACCGTACGTGAGGTCACTGGTTTGGCACCGCTGGGGGCCATCCTGAGCCAGGACTGGGGCTGGGGCCTGTGTGGATCAGTGACTCTCGGGGAGGGGTGAAGGGGAAGAACGGCCCTGATCTGAGCCTGGTCTTCAGTTATTGAATGCTTGGTCCTGGACAGTGGCTGAGTGCAGTCTCAGAGTCCTGGACTTGGGATGGAACCATAGACTGTATATATTAATGGACAGAGTCACGCCTATCTCCGCCGTTCAAACTAATGGGCCAAAAAATGTGCTCTACTGGAGCAATCCAAAATGGCCGCGAGTGGTCCCGCCCACAAGAAAATTGTGAAAAAACGCATCTGTGCATGCGTCAGCCGGCGCAGCTCCATTTGTTTGAACGAGAGAATTAAAAAATTCTCAGCAAGTAAACTAGAGTGGACCAAAACACCCCCCTCAGCATTGACACACATGTGGAACTGAGCTTTGGGCCAAGAGACAACTTTTGGTCCATCCTGTAAAGACGTTTTTGAGAGGTCTGCCAATGCTATATGTTAGCATTGGCTAATTCTACTTCTGGGTCCACCCCCGTCGGCCCAGGGTGGTATTGCCGCATGTCAGCGCACGTCATTTTGGCCACGTCTGAGCCGGGATCCACCCCCACTGGATGGAACCCTCCAAATCCAGACCCTGAGACTGTATAGGCCGTAAAGAAGAAGGCCAAGAACGAGTGAAAGTGAGATCCACCTCCAAGAGTGAGAGAGTCTGAAGGTAAAGGAGACAGTAGTGAGAGAGTCTGAAGGTAAAGGAGACAGTAGTGAGAGAGTCTGAAGGTAAAGGAGACAGTAGTGAGAGAGTCTGAAGGTAAAGGAGACAGTAGTGAGAGAGTCTGAAGGTAAAGGAGACAGTAGTGAGAGAGTCTGAAGGTAAAGGAGACAGTAGTGAGAGAGTCTGAGGGTAAAGGAGACAGTAGTGAGAGAGTGTGAAGGTAAAGAACATGGACACGGAGAGAACATGCACACTCCAATCAGAAAGGGCAGGACCCACATGTTGAGAAGCGAGAGTGCTAACCACTCAGCCGCTGTACTACAGTCCTCATGCTAGTGCCACAAGTTTGTGCCACAGAGTTTCTGTCTGGACTCCTGCAGGTGGATTGCATCAGTAATCAGTGGTTAGTCGCTACATGTATCACAGTCAGACCAGTGTGATTGTAATGTTAGGCCTTTCATGGTACATATTACACATGGTTTCTTTGAATACGGTACTTAAGTAAAAATACTTACCTCCTTCACTGACCTGGAGCCATGGCTCCTGCACAGTCAGATGTGTGCAATACACGGACAGATGTGTGCAATACACGGACAGACGAGTGCAATACACAGACAGATGTGTGCAATAAACGGACGGACGTCTACAATACACAGACAGATGAGTGAAATACACAGACATATGTGTGCAATACACCGACGGACGTGTGCAATACACAGTTAGATGTGTGCAATACACCGACAGATGTGTGCAATACACAGACAGACGAGTGCAATACACAGACAGACGTGTGCAATACACCGACGGACGTGTGCAATACACAGACAGATGTGTGCAATACACAGACATATGTGTGCAATACACAGACAGACGAGTGCAATACACAGACAGATGTGTGCAATAAACTGACAGATGTGTGCAATACACGGACGGACGAGTGCAATACACGGGCAGATGTGTGCAATACACCGACAGATGTGTGCAATAAACGGACAGATGTGTGCAATACACGGGCAGATGTGTGCAATACACCGA